ACCTCTTCTTCTGAGGAGTAGTACTCATAGGTGTACTCGTACTCGTCCGCCTCCTGTTTTGTCTTTGCTTTGCCCTTAGCTTTCGAGGAAGCTGTGGCCTTGACTACTTCTTCCTCTTTGGCCGCGGCTTCTTGTTTTGGTTCTCCTGTTGGTGACCTTCTTGCCGTACTCGACTTCGATCTCAGATGTTTCAAGGACCTTTCCTTGAGCTCGTCGACCTCCCGTCTCAGGTCATCTTGCCGCTTCGTGAAGAACTCTGCTTTGGCCATTCTCTGGACCTGTCTAATCACCAGCCTGGCGTAGTTCTTGCAAAGGTCTTCAAGATACTCTCCCGAGGCCACAGACCTCTCCTTCCCGATCACCGGCACATGTGAAGCATCCCCGCAACTGCATCGTGCCCTCAGTGAAGAAATCCCCGGCAGTGTACCGCCGAACATCTGAGGCTTGTATGTCCTCAGACCGAAGTCCAGGTGTAGTTGATAGGCACAGGTTGGGAACTCTGCCAACTGGAAGCCCTCCTTCTCGTACTTCTCGAAGAGGTTCGCCACTTCCGGAAGTTCCCACGCCGAGAGGTGTTCGCCATGGTCTGAAGGTAGTGGGTTCTCTAACGTTGCAAAGGGTCTCAACCTGTCTTCCTCCCTGGAAGCAATGATTCTGTCGGCCATGTGAGCTGACCTGGACGCATGTAGTGTACCTTCGTCTGCTTCAGCTTGTCGGTGTTTTGGAAGGTCGGGTAGTCCGTATGGCTGCCTTTTTGATCTGACCGGACCTGGGTAGCCCTCCGCCTTTCTCCATCTTAACTTCGAGAAGGACGTGCATGGGAAGCCAGAGTGCATCCCGTCCCAAAACCCTTCCTTCGCCTTCTTCAGAAAGTCCAGGTAAGGTTCCTCCTTGAGCAGGTCAACACCGTTCTCTTTCTCGCAGGAGTACACCGAGATACACCGAGACTTTCATGCGGTGACGTTTGGCTTCCTCTTCAATGGCTTTGCCAAGTGGGTCCTTCACGCCCGCGTACATGTGCAGGAAGTTGAAACATCTCTTCATTGTGTAGCCCTCCAGAGTCATGAGCTTCCCGTTGAACTCAGCCTTCGGCTCGTCGTCCTTCTGGTCTTCGCGATCCCTGGAGCGTCTTCGTTTTCGTCTCCCTTCGTCGTTCTTCTTCCTTTCTGGGTTTTCTTCTCGGTCTCCTGATTGCCTTCTTCTTGACCTAGATATCTGCCCCACGTGAAGATGGGTACCCATGTGGTGTCCCTCGGCTGGGTGTTCTTCGCCTTGTGTCGTGCCCAGTCTACCTTCAGGAGCTCGATCAACTTTCCTTTTGCGAGCACTGATGTGAAGGGTGTCCAGGGGATCCACATGCCGTGCAACGATGTTCTCTTGCATCTCTTGCGACCTTTCCTCGGCAAGCGGATCATGGAGGGAGTCCAGCACAGGCCCCATTGTTGTTGTTCCAGGCATAGCAGGCTGGAGGTTTTCCTTTCCCCTTTCCCTTCGTGCCAGAGTCCTTCTCCTCCGCATCTTGCAGCTTTCAGGCCTCTCGACGCCTTGCATTTGCGGACTTCTTCCAAGAGTCCAGCCCGTTTTTCAACCCTTCCGTATCGGGTTTGAGGATGGCCGCCCCTCCCTGGATGCTGGACTCTGCAAACGCCTCGGACGGAGTGAGGAGCTTCCCCTTCGAAATGGCCAGGAGTAGTGTGAATTCCACCCACCACCCCTGACTCATCAAATTGTTCAGCACAAAAATATGCTGTGCTTCTTTTTGTTTCAAAAAAAGGAAAGAGTGTAGGTAGCAAGCGAAGCCCATGAACAAATATACGCGGATGGGGCGGTGCAGGGGGGAGGCGCGCACCAAGAAAGAAGCACATAGGCACAAGTGGCGATGGTTACCAATAAAGATAAAATGATCCCAAATAAACGATGCTTATGAAAAGGAGAGTGTAGGTAGCAAGGGAAGCCCATGAACAAATATACGCGGGTGGGGGGTGCAGGGGGGAGGGCGCTTTCTGTCTTTCTTTCTTGCTTTCTTTCTATCTTTCGTTCTTTCTTTCTTTCTTTTCTTTTCCTGATTTTGTTTTTTTTGATCCATGGATTTTGTTTGCCTTTATTTCGTGATAGTTTCCTTGTGTTTTCTCATTTTTCTGGATTTTGTGTTTTTTTTTGATCCCTATTTTTTTTTTTGACCCTTTTTTTTTGATCCTTATTTGTTTTTTTTGATCCATCTCCCGTTTTGGGGAGTCGGGTTTTCACTATAATCAGTCTAATACCAGCAGAGAAGGCTTTGCTACCTTCAGTACATACGTAGCTTTGAAATTAAATTCAAAATGGATCATGTTTTTTTGGTTGCTGACATCGGCGTGAGCTGCATTCTTTCAAATAATAACCGCAATATCCCAGGAAAATGCATGTACCACCCAAACGAAGAGTACCACTGCGCGTCGAGCACGACAACGATGTACCATGAAAAATAGCAAGCGTAAAACTCGCAGACGTAGATAAAAACCATGGAATCCGCCAAAATGATGGAAAAAGCATGAAAACCATAGAATCCGCAGAGAAAGTAGACAGACCATGGAAACCATAGAAACCGGAGACAGACTATGGAAAACATGGAAACCGCAAACCACCCTAACCGCATCGAAACTACACAGGCCATGGAAAGCATGGAAACCGGAGACGCATTATAGAAACCATGGGCACCGCATAGAAACCATAGAAACCATGGAAACCGCACGAAGCCAATGGAAACCATAGAAACCATGGAAACCGGAGACGCATTATAGAAACCATGGAAACCGCATAGAAACCATGGAAACCATGGAAACCTCACAAAGCCAATGGAAACCATAGAAACCACATGGAAACCATGGAAACCGGAGACGCATTATAGAAACCATGGGCGCCGCATGAAAACCATGGAAACCATGGAAACCATGAAATTCCGGAGGCGCAGATGAGTGCTCGTCCAAAAATAGCAAGCGTAAAACTTGCAGACGTAGATAAAAACCATGGAATCCGCCAAAATGATGGAAAAAGCATGAAAACCATAGAATCCGCAGAGAAAGTAGACAGACCATGGAAACCATAGAAACCGGAGACAGACTATGGAAAACATGGAAACCGCAAACCACCCTAACCGCATCGAAACTACACAGGCCATGGAAAGCATGGAAACCGGAGACGCATTATAGAAACCATGGGCACCGCATAGAAACCATAGAAACCATGGAAACCGCACAAAGCCAATGGAAACCATAGAAACCATGGAAACCGGAGACGCATTATAGCAACCATGGAAACCGCATAGAAACCATGGAAACCATAGAAACCGCACAAAGCCAATGGAAACCATAGAAACCATGGAGATGCGGTATAGAAACCATGGAAACCGCATAGAAACCATGGAAACCATGGAAACCGGACATAGCCAATGGAAACCATAGAAACATTATAGAAACCATAGAAACCGCATAGAAACCATGGAAACCATAGAAACCGCACAAAGCCAATGGAAACCATAGAAACCATGGAGATGCGGCATAGAAACCATGGAAACCGCATAGAAACCATGGAAACCATAGAAACCGCACATAGCCAATAAAACCAATAGAAACCATGGAAACCGGAGAAAGTATAGAAACCATGGAAACCATGGAAACCGGAGACGCGGTAGAGAAACCATGGAAACCGCATAGAAACCATAGGATGCACAGATGAGGAAAATGTTGGAGGCACAGATGAGGAAAATTCTGGAGGCACAGATGAGTGCTCGTCCTTTCGGTCCATCAGTGGATTCGCTCTGCCATCCGTGATTCACAAGAACCAACCTCTCCTATAGGTTTCCTATTTTTGAAACTTCCGCCACCGCCTTGCGCGGTACTACTGGTAAAAGCTTTGAGAAGAGATAGCCACCAGCAGCATCTAAAATTCTAAAATATCAGAACATCAGAATGGAAGCACGTGATACCACACAAGGCTTGACAAAGAGAAGGAGCCTATGAAATACCTATGACCCTGACTCTGTGACCAAGTGGGTTGGACAAATGCAGCATGACAAATCGCATGTTTCCTTTCTATCTTTACTTGTGCTTCGGAGTTGGCGACATGGACAAGGAGCAGACCATTTTCGAATCATTCCAACTATTCAGCCACCATGAACCCATCATACCTGCATCCCCTTCGCATTGTCTATAGAAGCATCAAGCCACCAGCGCCCTCTGGCTACTAATCGCGGCCACCTTCTTCTTTAGCTTCTTTTCCAACCGAACGTTCAACGAACACTAGCTCAGGAAATTACTGTAACTGCAACTGTAATCGCACAAGGGTGGACATATTTCCGTTGTCCTTGTCAAATAACGGGGGCATTTCATTTGTTTAAGCATTTTGGGAATTAACACAATGTAGCATGATGCAGCATAATTGTATTCAATAAATAAATATATATATATATGCTATTTATTGCTTTGGCCTCTTTCTCTGTTAGGGGCCATAGCTACCCAGGATCTATTTGTAGAATCCCAGAAGCTATTTACTGCATTATACTGATGCTGGCGTTTATTTGTTTCCAAGCTACTGGGCCTATTTATTTAAAAAAACACAGTGAGGCCAAAGCAGTCGCCAAACCATCTGTCTACAATTATAGTACGCTTATGGGTTTTGGGCCAGTGTTTAAGCTACCCCGACTTTTGGTGGTTTATTATTGAATATGATAAATTATTTACATTAAGTTTTCAGTCCATAGAGCATTCATGCAGTATACATGCCTCTGCTACAGATACAGTACATACCACGAACTGACTTGATGATTCGTGTAAGCATACGAACAAGTGTTGCGTCTATTGCAGCCCCATGCCCACCCACCCTCCAAGCGGACAGGCATTCTTTTTCGTTGATTGGCCGGTTTGGTCTGCTTTGCTTTGCAGCAGCTGTGCAACCAAGACATCACCTTGGTTCTATAAACACAAACTTCCAATTTCAAAGGCCCACTTTTGAAGCCTTCAGATTCATATCTGGCGCCCATTCTCTGGCTCCTTTGACTCCGTCGTGCTCTTCCATGAGCTTGTAGCACTTCTTGCAAGGCACTGCAGCTCTCGTGGGGCGTTGGGTGAGTTCCACCTTGACATTCTTCTTCGCAAAGTTCCACCCACATATGGTGGCCCAGTTGTCAAGCGGAATGCGCCCCAAGCTGCTTGCCCCACCAAGTGCTTTGTCCATTTGCCTCTTGCATTTGACAAGGCGTAGACCTTCTCCTTGTCATTTTCGCTTTCTTGGATAGGCACCGGCTGTTCCCCCTCTGCCGTTTTCTTTGGGGATGCCTTCTGTTTTGGTCTGAGGGACTTGCGTTTGAGGAATTCTGTCTCTTGTCCAGCGCCATGTGCTCCTGTGCCTGGTGTCCTCGGCACGTGGGAGTTCATTGGCACCTCAGCCATTGCCTCCTCGACGTACCTGAACACGGCTGAGGACTTCCAACGTCCAAGAAACTGTATTGACTGTATTGGCATACCCTTCCTTGCGTACGCCATGGCGCCAGAACGCCGCGCCGAATGGCCTGTGGCTCTTTCGTCCAAGTGGTTGGACCACGCCGTCACCATGTGCCACTTTGTCGCAAGGTTCCCCTCCACATCTGGGAAGAGAGGGGTACTGGGTGGTTTGCCCTCCACGTCCTTGAACGCCAAGAAAGCCAAGTTGTAGGCGCAGTCTCTTACGCACGTTGGCATGGAGCAGCACCCCAGCGTCCTCCATGTGCCTTGAGCCTTCTGGTCTGTCTTGGACTTCTTGACATACAGCCTGACTGTTTTGTCATCAGGCTTCACTGTCACATCACTTACAGTGACCTGCGCCGCCTCGATCGCTCTCAGCATCCATATTGATGCCCATGCAAACGACCAAGCGACCTTTTTGGTTCTCCTCTGGTTTCATTGGCCCGGTTCCACTCATGCTCCTGCATGTCTTTTATTCTTACTTCCTGGGCTCGCGTCTCAGGGCCCTTGTCTCTCTGCATGGCTCGCTTGCATGAGGTCAGTTGCTTTTCTATCTGGATATCCGAGTCAAAGCCTGCCTCAACGTGCATTGATTTGGCTTCAGCTACGTATTGATCTCCCGCCTTCATGCCCGTGGAGTCCAGTACCGCCGCCAAGCTAGTCACACTCTCCACCGTCAGCGGGAAATGGTCTCCTCCAAGCCCCTCCAAAATCTCTGACACTGTTCGTCTTTTGGTGTTCTTGGTTGCCAAGGTGGACGCTGAGTAGAACATAGTAGAACTTCTTAATTATTTATTATGAAAGCTTTTCTGACCTTCTTGAGCCACACCTTGTCCGCGCCATTCTCCTGCTGCCTTCAGGGGGACCTTTGTCTCGCTGTTCTTCTCTGGCAAGTGGTTCACCTTTGCGGACTTGCTGCTGCGATCATTGCCCCCATCGTTGGCCTGGTGTCGCTTCCTCCTCGACAATACTTGTGGGAACTCGTAGTCTGTCTTCTTGACATTCCTGGGCCCCACAGAGATGAGACCGGTCGGTGAGGTGGTGAGGCTGGCAAAGCTGCCCCTGGAGCTCTTATCTCGGTCAAACTGAGCCAGGCTGGGGGCTCTCGCTCGGTACTCGTAGGCGTCCCATGCCTTAGTACCCCATTTCGTAGAGGTGTTCTGGGGCTCCTTTTTTGTGAGGGTCTCTCGTTGCACGAGGCCAGCAGTGCTTGCACCCCATGACAAAAGTTTTCACCTTGCCGCCCCATACCCATTCCAGGTGGCAAAGCCGCGGCACACATGCTTGAAATAACATTCCGCACATGAAGACCAGTGCCAGGAAGATCCATGCCCCCAGATTGGACGCCAGGTTGTGCTCTGATGGCACAAGGCTGGGGCTAGCCGGTGGAAGGATGATGGCGACCTCCATGCTTGACCCAAAAGTGTGGCTGCGGTTACATGAACGTCCATGTTATCATGTGTGTGTACCGTCATGTGACTCATGTGTGTTTGCCAGGGAACGTGCAGCATTCTTGAGCAGCCTACTTTTGCCGGCTGAGAATGCATCACAAGCTGTCAAAGACGCCTCCCGGTGGCGCCATCACCCTGCTTCTCTCGGAGAATGCTGTTGTGCGCCTCAATTTGACGCCCACCAGGTTGGCTGGCATTGGACCGCGGCTGGTAAGCCTCGATAGCCAGTCAGCTTCAAGGTTAACTTTCCCGGCACGTGTTGTGCCACCAGTCGAGGGATCTGTGCCCTCTCAAGCAGCAGGGAGAGTTCTGCCGCGAGGTAGTTGAGCGTCTTGGTGGGCGACTTCAACTGCTTTGCCATAGCAAGCGCAAATGCGCTGTCTGACCTGATGAGCACTGGTCCCTGTTGAAGCTTCGTGCTCCAGATCTGAAAGGCTCGGAGAATGACCAACCATTCCAGCACCGCTTGCCCCGACGGCTTGTTGAATTCGATTTCCAGTGCTGCCGCCTGATGTGGTTGCAGCGGTGCGTCGAAGTCTTCCACGATGTGCCACTGCGAGCCCACCTTGTGTATGAGGACCCCGCCGACGCCCCCCGGTGAGGCGTCTGTGACAACTCCCCATGCGGGCTCCTGTTCCAAGAGCGGCTCTCTTCTGATCAGCATGGTCTCCGGTGTCTCGAAATCCGCTTTCGGCCAAGGGCAATGCTGTGCCCAGGCGTTTCACCGCAAAGAGCCCATGCTTGGGGCGTTTGTCACCAGCTCGATGCTTTGCCCGCTCTTCTTCCTTCTCCTCCTCTTGGAGTACTATACATCGACGCCACCGTCCACCTCAGTCTTGGGACGATGCCAGCTATCCCCATCACAAGCTCATGTCTGTGGAGTTCGAACGTCGTTCCGATCCATGGGTGACATGCCTCGTTCTCCTTTTGGAAGGGCCACCTGGACTCCAAAGGCCGCCAGAACATACAGCACCTTTGCCATCCGGAGGTTGCGTTGTTCAGGGGCCCCACGGATCATGAGTGCCACATCGTCTACGTAGACCTGGACTTGGCCTGACGCTGGGTGGAACAAGGACTGCACCAAGCGTCCAATGGCGGCACTCAGTCTTCCCAGCATTGCCACCCATAGGATGCCCGTGCCACTTTCGAGTCCGGGGCTGATGCAATGACGTAATTCATCAGGATGAACGCCGAAGTGGCAGAACGCATCCTGCAAGTCAATCAGGATGAACTCTACCTCGGCTTGTTCGTACGCCCTGCTGCCCTTGAGGATCGACATGTGCTTCTTCTCCTTCAATTCTTGTTCTCGGGCTCTCATGACTCGCAAACTCTTCACTTTGTCCTGTGCCCTCGGTAGTACGATTCTTTCACTCACTCTCGCTCGTGCATTCCCCAACGAGCGCCTCATGTCGATCACTATCCTCCGCTTTGTTGATCCATCTGGCTTTTGTTTGATGATCAACGCCAGCTTGGATGCCGTGCCCTTCTTGAAGCGCTCGTGCAACACTTCTAGAGGCATGACCCTGCAGAATCCCTTCGTGATGCACCTGTCTATTTCTACTGAAGCCTCCTCCTTCTGGGACCCCACAGACTCATCTGCCATAGTTCTTCATGCCCATCAGCTCGATCAAATCCGTCTTGGACTCCAGTGCCTCGCCAGGTTCGACCCCCGGGAATATGTTGGAGTCCTGTACCTCGCGCTCCATGCCGGGTGCCCCTTCCCTGGCCCATTGGCCGATGCACTGCTCAGGATCCTCTGGCTTTGATCCTCCAGGCATCCCAGAGGCTGCTGTGCAAGGGTGACTTGAACTCCATCTCTTCCCTGAGGGTGATGCCATCCTGGGTCTCCATTTCCAAAAGGCTGGTTTGTAGCCTCTCCGTCCATCTTGCCAAGACGTCCTCGTTGAACTTTGCCTCACTTGATCCATAGTTTATGGCCACCGATAGGGCTTCTGGATGCTGTGACACCACAAAGTCCATCCACGCAGCATGAATCATTTCTCCAACCTGTCGCACCTGATGTAGTCTCGACACAGCAGCTGCTGGGTTGCGCATGCCACCCATGGCAAAGTCATTCATCTCCTCCCTACGCTGTCTCTTTGATGCCCTCGTGGAGGATGAAGGGAGGTTATCTTCTTCCATGTCGTGGCTCTCGGTGGCTTTTGTCTCCAACCTCGGTGACTTCACCTCTCCTGTGAGGGGCCTTGTGTTGGACGGCTCCTCCTCCACATAGACACGCTTCCTCCGCTCCTCTTCATTCTCAAGCCACCTCTCCTGTAGCTTGTTGACCTTGTCAAACTTCTGCTGAAGTTGACAGCGGAGCCACTCCAAGTTCAGGATGCGCTTCCATGCCTCGACAATCTTCTTGGCGATGGCGTCAGTGAGGTCAGGGGGGTATGCTCCTGCTGCTTCTGTATTGCCCTTTCCAATCACTGGCACGTGCTGCACCCAAGGTTGACACTTGCAGACCTTTGCCAACGATGCCATAGACTCCAATTTCCCCGTCCACCTCGCCGGTTTGTACCACCTCCGTTTCTGCTTTGTCTGATATGCGCACGTGTTGGACTCCACCGTAGAAGATCCTGTGTCTGCGATGACAGCCTATATCTCGGGCAGATCCCAAGCGCTTCCAGAATCTTCTGAACCAGGTGGAGTCTTGAGCGTCGAAACCTCTGGTACTGCACGTCTTCTGCAGCTAGCCACCTGCTTCTCGCGCAGCCAGCCTGAGCGCATGGCCATCAAGGTTCCATCATCTGCTTCTTTCTGCTGTGCCGGGGTGTTGCAAGGTAGGCCGTATATGTGTGCGGCTGACCGCACTGGCAATGCACCCCTCGGCGAGTCTCGCCGTCTCGCCATCCCACCCTCGAAAATGAGGATCAAGGGAACCTGCTATGGCATATGGAAACCATCCCACTCACCGTTCGTGATGGACTTCTCTATCTCGTCATAGACCAGATGGCTTGCAAGATTAAGCCCCTTGTCCCTTTTAAGATCCAATGATTCTACATAGACCGAGCCGAGCTCGTGCTGCCTCTGCCTTGAGCGACTTTGCCAGCTGGTCCTCCTCGCCAGAAAACATGTGAAGATACCTGAAGGGCCTGCTTTTTCTAAACTGATCGAAAGAGCTGCTTGCTTCTAAAGCTGCCTTCACCCGTTCAGGCACCCATGGACCAGCTGCCTCAGGATCTGTCGTAATTCTCTGGGTTGCGGTTCCTTGCACGTCAGTCGCCTCGTTGCCGGCTGTCTCAACTTCCCTTTTGACTTCCTTTGGACAGCCAGGTGCAGCTTTATCGCATGACTCCGCCTTTGTCCGAGCCTGACCTGCTGCTTCAGCCTTCACGGGTTCAGCCTGGTCAGGGTCATCACCTTCAAAGTCAGGCAAGGACTCCATGAAAGTCACCTCCCAAGTCCCTCTACGTTGGCAGAAGGGGAAGGTGCTAAGCCAAAACAATGCGGGCATACTGTTGTCAGATTCTCCAAGAGTGTTTCCTGCAATCCAAATAAGTGCCTGCATCTGAAATTCACTGTTGGCTTTCCGTTCCAGCGCGTTGGATTTGAACTGTTTGCGTTTCAAAACTGTCTAATCTTAAATCTTTTTCAACGAAAGCAACACTGCAAACCCCCCATAAATGCACTGAGAAAACCAAATCAAATAAAAGACAACCATGACATGAAACGACAAAAAGAACCGTTGCCGACAATCCCAAGATGCACTCTCAGACAATGCTAAGGGGCTGCCGGTGACTGTCCTGTTTTGCTCGTCCAGCGGTTCATCCAGACCTGCAATCCGCATCTTTATGCGAAGGTGAAAGACAAATGCGGCATTTGTGGATCCGCTTTACGGGTCCTTTGCATTCCCCTCCGGGGGCCACATCTGCGCAATGTCTTTTTCCGGACGCCCAGCTATAGCACAATTCAAGACCTGACTGGTCTTTTGATTTCCCCTTGGCCTTCCCCTTTGCACCTCCAGCTCCTTTACCTGAAGACGGGGTTGCCGCCCTGTGTCGGGCCAGTTCCGATCGATCTGAAGCCAGGCGCCTCTTCTTTGCTTGACGGCGATCTCTGTTCGCCTGAGTTTTCCTCCTGTCTGATGTTTGACTCAGCTCCTGTTCGAGCCCAAGAGCTCTTTGGCCTCCCTGTGTGGCGTCAAACACAGCGGCTTCAGCGGCAACGCAAGGTGCTCCTTTGCCTCCCGACGCCGTCCATGCTGCAGCAGGGTGATGAATCCTCTCCGCACAAAAGTCAGTGTCCATGGCCAATTGCACAAACACACAAGACCAAGGGCAGTTGGGGTCCCATTCCCGAGGCACCTGTCTGTTCTGGGCAGACTCGATGGTGAGCTTTCTGCGAATCTTTTCCAATCGTTCAGCTCGACCAGAATCGTCAGCGAGGTAAATCAATCCCCAACAGCGTGGCCATTGTGTTGTCAACTTCTCCACCTGCTTGGCATATGCCTCCAAAGATGCAATCGAGCAGATGTTCAACATCAAGCACGCCGCTTTGATCGGCTTTGAAGACGTTCCACGAAGCTTTCCAAGCAGTGTAGCTGCTTGGATTTGGAAATCTCGTTGCAGGTAGGTGCCGTCTCCCATTGGTGTGTACACCCTGCATTTTTGCACCCGGCTCATTCTCCTCTCAGACGGTGTCGGGTGGCCTGTTCTCAATGAACACCCTTTTATGTAGGGCAGCCAGTTGCGACGCCGTGGGCTCCTCTGTCTCGTCTTGCTGTGACCCCATTGTTATGATGTAATTTTGATACCATCGATCCACATCCCAGGTTGGAAGGGGCTCTGATTCATCTTGCTGGTCAATTAGGGAGTTCATCTTCAAGACTCTCTCCTTAACCGACCCGCTTACCTGCCTCACAACTGGTTCAGGTGGATCTATACCTCCAGATGAGCTGCTTGAAGGCTCCAGCCAAGGGTCCACTTCCACGCAGCCGCCATAATTCGTCTAGCCATTCGCCAGGCTAACCCCACCTGAGTAGCCTGTATTGGATTCAGGGGCCCATCAGGGCTCATGGCGCCTCCGCACCCAGTGATGACTGCGATCTTGGGCAAGGCCGCTAACAATCTCAAGTCAGTGCCCGGGCTTCCAATCTGAGCCTCGAAGGATCGCCACACCACCTCTCCACGCCGAAGTGATCGAGGACATCATCGACGGTGCGAAAACGTCCTAGAGCATCCCATGACCCGAAAAGTGCAGCCATGGGCTACTCGCGATGGCTCCAGTGACCACCGCTTCAAAAGGGGGATGAGCCAACTTGAGCCAAAATTGGCGCCAAGCTGACTCAGTCCCACCCTCCAGCCCTTATTGCAATCTCCTACTCTTGTTCTGCAGCATTGCATGCTTTCTAATTCGATTCGATATGCTTCACTGTGTTTGTGCATTGCACTAACCCAAATTTTTAGAAAAGACGAAATTCAGAAACCACAAGTTGGTTAAATTTTATGAATGCGGATGGATGCGGTATGTTGTGGTATGGTGTTACGATGTGTTACGATGTGTTATGGTTTGGTGATGGAACTAAAAGAATTATATAAAGCATTATAAAGCCTTCCTCTCCCATCGCTTGTACCAAGTTGCATGACTGCGGTGGAGCCTTCGGTAATGGTGCGCATCAATACACGTGCCACCAGGCCTTGATGGGGGAAGGCATTCGCGGGGAAGGCATTGGCCTGGAGGGCGTCACATCGCACATTTCGTTACCATTCGTTACCCATGTAAGTTTCAAAGTATTTTCAAAGTTCACCTCGTTGACCGTTCACATCTGGTTGTTCTTTCCCAATTGTATATAATTGCGTGGGCTTAAACAGTTGCTTTAGTTTCCATCATTTTCCTTGTCTGAAAACACAACCCGGATTTGATTAAAATGCCTAAAACATTTTGAAGCATTGAGTTCCAGCATCGACATCCATTTGAAGTACCAGCAAATTATGCTGGAGCAAGCCACCGATTGACCAGCGAAAACCTTCCAGCATCAGGTCACTTGCGTCCGTTTCCTGAAAAGCAGGAACAAGAACAAAAATAACCATCCGTGACAGGTGGAACCCTTTGAGGCAATGTTGTGAAGCTCAAAGCATCTACTAGTGTACAGTAGCCGAAGTAGGCTGACTACCCAACATGGTCGTGATACCGCGGCATGCAAGAAGGCATTTTAAGGGTCAAAACTGCTACGAGGTGCTGTTCACCAAGAGAAGTTTGAAAGAACCGAACAGGGTCCTAGCGCAAGCCAAGTATCCTGCGCTCCCTGTTGCTTGGTTGAAACAGCTTCAATTTTCAGGCTTAGCTTCACATTCTCCTGGCACAATGCAGCCAGGGGAGTTGCTACAAAGCTGCTACAATGCTGAACCGATGGCTTGTGACAATGCTCAGAGTTCACACCTTTCAGTTGCACGATTCAGCTCTTGGCCGAGACACGTCTTTGGCAACGTCAGAAATCAATCGCTTCATGACAATGACGCATGAGTCGGTGAAAGGCGCAAAGAGCTCGATCGGAACACCATAGCCTGATAAGATTGACCACAACCCACATGCCAAACAAAAATGCCAGGGCGAAAGATCGCCTGGAACACCAGGGCAATGGACAAAAGGATTGGATTGTCATGGATTGTCTGCTAAAGGCTCAAGTATGCCTCAACAAGTCCACAGCAACCTTGACCGCATTCCCAACAGCATACACTCATGTGATCGCAAGCAATTTGACATAAGTATGACATAAGTTGAATCGTGGTTCGGGTTTATCACTCGCCAACTGACGGATATCTGGAAGATTCTGGAAGTAGCATGTGAAGTTCAAGAATCCTACTCTGTCCTTTAGGGAACTGCAGGGATCACTGACTGCCAAGTCCAAAACATAATGTTGAAGTATCCCCTTCTTTTCGGAACCGCGTTGGATAAACTAGCGGCGAAGCAAACTTTTTGATCAAGAGCTATTCCGAAAAAGAATGGTGGCAGAATCTAGCTTCTTGACCCAAATGCGGGCATCACGCGGCATCACTGCATCCCGATCCATCAGGGTGCATCAGGGTGCATCACCATCCTCATTCCGCAATTCTCATTATTTCTCCCAAATGCTAGTTCCGGAGAACATCTCCAACCAGTCTGAAATCGAAATCGACTCTTCGCCATCGCCACATCAAGCCATACTTATCCATACTTCGTGCCCGCAGCCTACATGACGCAGGCCCAGTGCAGAAAGTTCATCCATCATGTCCTTAGCACGCAATCTGTCGTGGCGTCTCAAAGGCTGGGCAGGGTTACTGATTCACCTTTTGAAATGATCTGCAATCAACATTCACATCATTCACATCATTCACATCATTCACATGGTTCACATCATTCACATCATTCACATCGTTCACATCGTTCACATCATTCACATGCTTCACATGTTTCACATCGGTCACATCGTTCACAGCATTCACATGATTCACATCGTTCACATCGTTCACATGATTCACATGATTCACATGATTCACATCGTTCACATCGGTCACATCGTTCACAGCATTCACATGATTCACATCGTTCACATCGTTCACATGGTTCATATGATTCACATCGTTCACATCGTTCACATCGGTCACATGGTTCACATGATTCACATGATTCACATGGTTCACATCATTCACGTCATTCACATCATTCACATCGTTCACACCATTCACATGATTCACATCATTCTCATGGTTCACATCATTCACATCATTCACATCGTTCACATCGTTCACATCATTCACATGATTCACATGACTCACATCATTCACATGGTTCACATCATTCACATCATTCACATGATTCACACCATTCACATCATTCACATCGTTCACATCGTGCACATGATTCACATGATTCACATGGTTCACATCATTCACATCATTCACATCATTCACATCATTCACATCATTCACATCGTTCACATCGTTCACATCGTTCACGTCATTCACATCATTCACATCGTTCACATCGTTCACATCATTCACATCATTCACATGATTCACATGGTTCACATCATTCACATCATTCACATCATTCACATGGTTCACATGATTCACATCATTCACATGATTCACATCATTCACATCATTCACATGATTCACATGATTCACATCATTCACATCGTTCACATCGTTCACATCATTCAAATCATTCACATCGTTCACATCGTTCACATCATTCACATCATTCACATCATTCACATCGTTCACATCGTTCACATCATTCACATGATTCACATGATTCACATCGTTCACGTCATTCACATCATTCACATCGTTCACATCGTTCACATCATTCACATCATTCACATCATTCACATCGTTCACATCGTTCACATCATTCACATGATTCACATGATTCACATCGTTCACGTCATTCACATCATTCACATCGTTCACATCATTCACATCATTCACATGATTCACATGGTTCACATCATTCACATCATTCACATCATTCACATGGTTCACATGATTCACATCATTTACATCATTCACATGATTCACATCATTCACATCGTTCACATCGTTCACATCGTTCACATCATTCACATCATTCACATGATTCACATGATTCACATCATTCACATCATTCACATGATTCACATCATTCACATCGTTCACATCGTTCACATGGTTCACATGATTCACATCATTCACATGATTCACATCATTCACATCATTCACATCGTTCACATCATTCACATCGTTCACTTGATTCACATCATTCACATGGTTCACATGATTCACATCATTCACATGATTCACATCATTCACATCATTCACATGATTCACATGTTTCACATCGTTCACATGATTCACATCATTCACATCATTCACATGGTTCACATGATTCACATCATTCACATGATTCACATCATTCACATGATTCACATGATTCACATCATTCACATCATTCACATCGTTCACATCATTCACATCGTTCACATCGTTCACATCATTCACATCATTCACATCATTCACATGGTTCACATCATTCACATCATTCACATCATTCACATCGTTCACATCGTTCACATCATTCACATCATTCACATCATTCACATGATTCACATCATTCACATGATTCACATCATTCACATCGTTCACATCGTTCACATCATTCACATGATTCACATCATTCACATCATTCACATCGTTCACATCGTTCACATCATTCACCTGATTCACATGTTTCACATGATTCACATCATTCACATCGTTCACATGGTTCACATGATTCACATGATTCACATCATTCACATCATTCACATCATTCACATCGTTCACATCATTCACATGATTCACATCATTCACATGATTCACATCATTCACATCATTCACATCGTTCACATCGTTCACATCATTCACATGATTCACATGTTTCACATGATTCACATCATTCACATCATGCACATCGTTCACATCGTTCACATGGTTCACATCATTCACATGATTCACATCATTCACATCATTCACATCGTTCACATCGTTCACATCGTTCACATCGTTCACTTGATTCACATCATTCACATGGTTCACATGATTCACATCATTCACATGATTCACATCATTCACATCATTCACATGGTTCACATGATTCACATCATTCACATGATTCACATCATTCACATCATTCACATCGTTCACATCGTTCACATCATTCACATGATTCACATGATTCACATGATTCACATCATTCACATGATTCACATCATTCACATGGTTCACATCATTCACATCATTCACATCGTTCACATCGTTCACATGTTTCACATGTTTCACATCATTCACATGATTCACATCATTCACACCATTCACATCGTTCACATCGTTCACATCGTTCACATCGTTCACTTGATTCACATCATTCACATGGTTCACATGATTCACATGTTTCACATGATTCACATCATTCACATGATTCACATCATTCACACCATTCACATCGTTCACATCGTTCACATCGTTCACTTGATTCACATCGTTCACATCATTCACATGATTCACATGATTCACATGATTCACATCATTCACATCATTCACATCGTTCACATCATTCACAATGATTCACATCATGCACATGATTCACATGTTTCACATCGTTCACATCATTCACATGATTCACATCATTCACATGATTCACATGATTCACATGATTCACATGATTCACATCATTCACATCGTTCACATCGTTCACATCATGCACATGATTCACATGTTTCACATCGTTCACATCATTCACATGATTCACATCATTCACATGATTCACATGATTCACATCATTCACATCGTTCACATCGTCACATGTTCACATCGTTCACATCATTCACATCATTCACATCATTCACATCGTTCACATCGTTCACATCATCACATGATTCACATGATTCACATCGTTCACATCATTCACATGATTCACATCATTCACATGATTCACATGATTCACATCATTCACATCGTTCACATCGTTTACATCATTCACATCATTCACATCGTTCACATCGTTCACATCATTCACATCATTCACATCATTCACATGTTTCACATCATTCACATGATTTACATGATTCACATCATTCACATCGTTCACATCATTCACATCATTCACATGATTCACATCATTCACATGATTCACATCATTCACATCATTCACATCGTTCACATCGTTCACATCATTCACCTGATTCACATGTTTCACATGATTCACATGTTCACATCATTCACATGTTCACATTCACATCATTCACATGACATTCACATTCACATCATCACATGATTCACATCATTCACATCGTTCACATCGTTTTCACATCATTCACATCATCGTTCACATCGATTCACATGATTCACATGATTCACATCATTCACATCGTTCACATCGTCATCATTCACATCATTCACATGTTCACATCGTTCACATCATTCACATCATTCACATCATTCACATGTTTCACATCATTCACATGATTCACATCACATCATTCACATCATTCACATCGTTCACATCGTTCACATCATTCACATCATTCACATCATTCACATCATTCACATCGTTCACATCGTTCACATGATTCACATCATTCACATCATTCACATGATTCACATGATTCACATGATTCACATCGTTCACATCGTTCACATCGTTCACATCATTCACATGTTTCACATGTTTCACATGGTTCACATCATTCACATCATTCACATCGTTCACATCGTTCACATCATTCACATCATTCACATCATTCACATGATTCACATCATTCACATGATTCACATCATTCACATGATTCACATGATTCACATCATTCACATCGGTCACATCATTCACATCATTCACATGATTCACATCATTCACATGATTCACATCATTCACATCATTCACATCGTTCACATCGTTCACATGATTCACATGATTCACATGATTCACATGATTCACATCGTTCACATCGTTCACATCGTTCACATCATTCACATGTTTCACATGTTTCACATGGTTCACATCATTCACATCATTCACATCGTTCACATCGTTCACATCGTTCACATCATTCACATCATTCACATCATTCACATGATTCACATCATTCACATCATTCACATCGTTCACATCGTTCACATGTTTCACATGATTCACATCATTCACATGATTCACATCATTCACATCATTCACATCGTTCACATCGTTCACATCGTTCACATCGTTCACATCATTCACATCATTCACATGGTTCACATGATTCACATCATTCACATGATTCACATCATTCACATCATTCACATGGTTCACATCGTTCACATCATTCACAATGATTCACATCATTCACATCATTCACATCATTCACATGGTTCACATGATTCCCCACCTCATTCACATGAATTCACATCAGTCACCATCATTCACATCGTTCACATCGTCACATCATTCACCCTGATTCACATGTTTCACATGATATTCCATCATTCACATCATTCACATCATTCACATCATTCACATCATTCACATCGTTCACATCGTTCACTTGATTCACATCATTCACATCATTCACATGATTCACATGATTCACATGATTCACATCGTTCACATCGTTCACATCGTTCACATCATTCACATGTTTCACATGTTTCACATGGTTCACATCATTCACATCATTCACATCGTTCACATCGTTCACATCATTCACATCATTCACATCATTCACATGATTCACATCATTCACATCATTCACATCGTTCACATCGTTCACATGTTTCACATGATTCACATCATTCACATGATTCACATCATTCACATCATTCACATCGTTCACATCGTTCACATCGTTCACATCGTTCACATCATTCACATCATTCACATGGTTCACATGATTCACATCATTCACATGATTCACATCATTCACATCATTCACATGGTTCACATCGTTCACATCATTCACATGATTCACATCATTCACATCATTCACATCGTTCACATCGTTCACATCATTCACATCATTCACATGATTCACATGATTCACATGATTCACATCATTCACACCATTCACATCGTTCACATGATTCACATCATTCACATCGTTCACATCGTTCACATCATTCACATGATTCACATGTTTCACATGGTTCACATCATTCACATCGTTCACATCATTCACATGATTCACATCATTCACATGATTCACATCATTCACATGATTCACATCATTCACATGATTCACATGATTCACATCGTTCACATGATTCACATCGTTCACATCGTTCACATGATTCACATCATTCACATCGTTCACATCGTTCACATCATTCACATCATTCACATCATTCACATGTTTCACATCATTCACATGATTTACATGATTCACATCATTCACATCGTTCACATCATTCACATCATTCACATGATTCACATCATTCACATGATTCACATCATTCACATCATTCACATCGTTCACATCGTTCACATCATTCACCTGAGTCACATGTTTCACATGATTCACATCATTCACATCGTTCACATCGTTCACATGGTTCACATGGTTCACATGATTCACATCATTCACATGATTCACATGATTCACATCATTCACATCGTTCACATCGTTCACATCGTTCACGTCATTCACATCATTCACATCGTTCACATGATTCACATCATTCACATGATTCACATCATTCACATCATTCACATCGTTCACATCGTTCACATGATTCACATCATTCACATGATTCACATGATTCACATCATTCACATCGTTCACATCGTTCACATCATTCACATCATTCACATCGTTCACATCGTTCACATCATTCACATCATTCACATCATTCACATGTTTCACATCATTCACATGATTCACATGATTCACATCATTCACATCGGTCACATCGTTCACATCATTCACATGATTCACATGTTCCACATGGTTCACATGATTCACATCATTCACATCGTTCACATCGTTCACATCATTCACATGATTCACATGTTCCACATGGTTCACATCATTCACATCATTCACATCGTTCACATCATTCACATGATTCACATCATTCACATGATTCACATGATTCACATCGTTCACATCGTTCACATCGTTCACATCGTTCACATCATTCACATGATTCACATGTTTCACATGGTTCACATCATTCACATCATTCACATCGTTCACATCGTTCACATCATTCACATCATTCACATCATTCACATGATTCACATCATTCACATGATTCACATCATTCACATCATTCACATCGTTCACATCGTTCACATGTTTCACATGATTCACATGATTCACATGATTCACATCATTCACATCGTTCACATCATTCACATCGTTCACATCGTTCACTTGATTCACATCATTCACATGGTTCACATGATTCACATCATTCACATGATTCACATCATTCACATCATTCACATGGTTCACATCGTTCACATCATTCACAATGATTCACATCATTCACATCATTCACATCGTTCACATCGTTCACATCATTCACATGATTCACATGATTCACATGATTCACATGATTCACATGATTCACATCATTCACATCATTCACATCGTTCACATCGTTCACATCATGCACATGATTCACATGTTTCACATCGTTCACATCATTCACATGATTCACATCATTCACATGATTCACATGATTCACATCATTCACATCGTTCACATCGTTTACATCATTCACATCATTCACATCGTTCACATCGTTCACATCATTCACATCATTCACATCATTCACATCATTTACATCATTCACATCGTTCACATCGTTCACTTGATTCACATCATTCACATGGTTCACATGATTCACATCATTCACATGGTTCACATGATTCACATCATTCATATGATTCACATGATTCACATCATTCACATCGTTCACGTCGTTCACATGATTCACATCATTCACATGATTCACATGATTCACATCATTCACATCGTTCACATCGTTCACATCATTCACATCATTCACATCGTTCACATCGTTCACATCGTTCACATCGTTCACTTGATTCACATCATTCACATGGTTCACATGATTCACATCATTCACATGATTCACATCATTCACATCATTCACATGGTTCACATCGTTCACATCATTCACAATGATTCACATCATTCACATCATTCACATCGTTCACATCGTTCACATCATTCACATGATTCACATGATTCACATGATTCACATCATTCACATCATTCACATCATTCACATCATTCACATCGTTCACATCGTTCACATCATGCACATGATTCACATGTTTCACATCATTCACATGATTCACATCATTCACATCATTCACATCGTTCACATGGTTCACATGGTTCACATGATTCACATCATTCACATGATTCACATCATTCACATCATTCACATCGTTCACATCGTTCACATCGTTCACTTGATTCACATCATTCACATGGTTCACATGATTCACATCATTCACATGATTCACATCATTCACATCATTCACATGGTTCACATCGTTCACATCATTCACAATGATTCACATCATTCACATCATTCACATCGTTCACATCGTTCACATCATTCACATCATTCACATGATTCACATGATTCACATGATTCACATGATTCACATCATTCACATCATTCACATCGTTCACATCGTTCACATTCACATGATTCACATCATTCACATGTTTCACATCGTTCACATCGTTCACATGATTCACATCATTCACATGATTCACATCATTCACATCATTCACATCGTTCACATCGTTCACATCATTCACATCATTCACATCGTTCACATCGTTCACATCATTCACATCATTCACATCATTCACATCATTCACATCGTTCACATCGTTCACTTGATTCACATCATTCACATGGTTCACATGATTCACATCATTCACATGATTCACATCATTCACATCATTCACATCGGTCACATCGTTCACATCGTTCACTTGATTCACATCATTCACATGGTTCACATGATTCACATCATTCACATGATTCACATGATTCACATGATTCACATCGTTCACATCGTTCACATCATTCACATGATTCACATGTTTCACATCGTTCACATCATTCACATCATTCACATCATTCACATGGTTCACATGATTCACATCATTCACATCGTTCACATCGTTCACTTGATTCACATGATTCACATGATTCACATCATTCACATCGTTCACATCGTTCACTTGATTCACATGATTCACATGATTCACATGATTCTCATCATTCACATCATTCACATCGTTCACATCATTCACATCGTTCACATCATTCACATCGTTCACATCATTCACATCGTTCACATCATTCACATCGTTCACATCGTTCACACCATTCACATCATTCACATCATTCACATGATTCACATGATTCACATGATTCACATCATTCACATGGTTCACATCATTCACATCATTCACATCATTCACATGGTTCACATGATTCACATCATTCACATGATTCACACCATTCACATCATTCACATCGTTCACATCGTTCACATCATTCACATGATTCACATGTTTCACATCGTTCACATCATTCACATCGTTCACATCGTTCACATCGTTCACATCATTCACATCATTCACATGGTTCACATGATTCACATCATTCACATGGTTCACATCATTCACATCATTCACATCGTTCACTTGATTCACATCATTCACATGATTCACATGTTTCACATCGTTCACATCATTCACATCATTCACATGATTCACATGATTCACATGATTCACATGATTCACATCGTTCACATCGTTCACATGATTCACATGATTCACATGATTCACATGATTCACATCGTTCACATCATTCACATCGTTCACATCGTTCACATCGTTCACATCTTTCACACCATTCAAATCATTCACATCATTCACATGATTCACATGATTCACATGATTCACATGATTCACATCATTCACATCGTTCACATCGGTCACATCGTTCACCGCATTCACATGATTCACATCGTTCACATCGTTCACATGATTCACATGATTCACATCGTTCACATCGTTCACACCATTCACATCGTTCACAGCATTCACATGATTCACATCGTTCACATCGTTCACATGATTCACATGATTGACATCATTCACATCGTTCACATCGGTCACATCGTTCACACCATTCACATGATTCACATCGTTCACATCGTTCACATGGTTCACATGATTCACATCATTCACATGATTCACATCATTCACATGATTCACATCATTCACATGATTCACATGATTCACATCATTCACATCGTTCACATGAGTCACGTCATTCACAAAATTCAAATCAATATAAATCAATATATGCAATCAACATGAAACAAGCTGTGACCAAGTTGGGCACCAGGGGTATCGGTCTGAGGTCATCATGGGTCAAACAATGTTGTCTGGTAGCCTGGGCCCTGCCATCAAACATCATCAAACCATGCCCAAAGAATCTACACAACATACAGAAACTCACCAGAATTATAAAATATGTTCAAAAGAAGATAGGATATAAAAGAAGCAATTAATTATATAGATATGGCTCTTCTTTTGCCTTCTGGTACATGTCGTAGGAAGATCGCAGAACTCTGTCGGCAATGTAGCGAAGCCTTGTCTGAGACCTGGAAAAAAACAAATGGCATCTGCGCGTGCAAGACCAACTTCGCAAGCATGAACAAAATCGCACAGTATCTATTTTATATATATATATATGCATTCACACGGCTGTTGATCCTCTAACTCATTTCATCTTAAGCTAGGTTTCGCACTGCTTGAACCACTCTTGGCTTGTAGCGCACTTTGAGAAGAAATCTGTGTAAATGGTAGTTCGGAAGTGCTCGAACTGCCTTGAATGGTCATGAGCCGTGATCCAATAAGACCCGTGACAGTGCAACTTGGGTGTGACCGCCTTATTGTTTGAAGCAGGCTTGTGTCTTTCCATCCATCAGGACACCAGACGACTCTTGACATACAAAGCACAAATGTGCGAAGTTGTTCCATTCCAACATCGCATTTAACATGTCGCTCCATGTGTGATATGCAGTATGCTTCAGCGATCTTGAAATTGCTCTCTCCGTTGGAGTCGTCGCAACAACAGCGTCGACGCAAATGTCGCAAGTTGGCCTATGTCGCCTATGTCTTGATTGTGTTGATCTTGTGGCTGGCTGGAAAGGAGATTTGAAGCTCCTTGTAGCTTCTTCCTCGTTCTTCCCCTACTTTTCTGAATGACAAAAAACTTAATTACTTGAATCGTTCCAACCGTTTCTTTGACAGGTGCCATGATGATTTACTGCAATTACTTCAAGTACTACTGGGATGGGAAGAATTTCGAAGAGATTCCAGATTCTAGTATAGCAGTGCAACCTCCGTGATGTCCTTGTCGTTACTTGTCATTTCTTGATATTTCTTGTCAGTACTCCATCCAATCAAAATGAAAAGCAACTGAACCAAGATCATCCGAGCTCATCAAGTTTTGGCACATTTTCTGTGCTCTTCTCATCTTTCAAGGTGCTCTTCTCCAAGTGTGCTGAAAAGATGAGCGTTGTACGCCTTGTAGGCCTTCACCTTCGTGCTCAACAAAAAGCAACGGGAAACGGGAACGCCAATGCAGCACAAAATACACATAATATACACGTAGTATATGATATGATAATATATATATATATGTGTGTGTGTGTGTGAAACATTGTGAAACAAATTGAAATGATATGAAACCTATGTACTTTATTCACTCTAATTAACATACTTGAGGCCGGGGGTGGATGACGAAAGCTAGCGGGGTAGGAGAAAGAAGGAAGGGAAGAGGTGAGTTGCGGAGGGACTGTCATCATCGTGTCGCGGCATTGTTCGTCCCAACGAGGATGCAACAATGATATATGATATATGATATATAACAATGATATATATGGGGGAGGGGGCAGGGGGGGGCCCTTTCGCGTGAAAAATCACGTGATGTCCTTGGGGAGCCCCGGAATACTTGCTAAAGCAAGAAGACTCTAGCGAGCTGACGCTACCTTTCGTGATAATGCCAACAATTGCCAATAATGATGAAATGTAAGTGAATAACGATGATGATGATGATGATGATGACGATGACGATGATGATGATGAGGACGATGATGATGATGATGATGACGAGGACGAGGACGAGGACGATGATGATGATGATGATGATGATGATGATGATGACGATGACGACGATGGCGAGATGACGATGACGATGATGATGATGATGATGATGACGATGATGATGACGATGATGATGGTGGTGATGGTGATGATGGTGATGATGATGATGATGATGATGACGATGACGATGACGATGACGATGGCGAGGACGATGACGATGATGATGATGATGATGATGATGACGATGATGATGACGATGATGATGATGATGATGATGATGATGATGATGATGATGATGATGGTGGTGGTGGTGATGTGGTGGTGGTGCGGGGGGGAGGGGGGGGGTCCCCCCCTTTCGCGTGAAAAATCACGTGATGTCCTTGAGCAGCCCCCGGAATACTTGCTAAAGCAAGAAGACTCCAGCTAGCTGACGCTAGCTTTCGTGATAAAGTTCTGTAATTTAGACGTATGTTCAGGTGATATGACAGTTTATGAATCATGATCAAGTATGAGATTATGAGAGTGCAATTCGGTGTCTGTCATCCAAGTGAGGTGCACTCAATGTTGAATCCGTTTTTCTTCAGTTTGCCAGTTTCACGTTGTTTCCCTTTAAGATGAAACTGTGAGGCTGTGACCTTGGTGGTAGCGTCAACAAGGTTGCGGCTGATGGTGAACCACAGCCACTCCCAGGCAGTCTCATGGGTCATGCTCCAGGTCTTTGGAAGCCTGGGAAGATCTGGGAAGGGGGGTGTTTCGGTTCAAACCTGTGATGCTCTCTTTTTGGCTTCAGTGAAGGGCACTGAAGAACCGAAAAAGAGGGCTTTAACAGGTAGAGTAGCGGAAATAGTAGTTAGGGAAGAGGGCAGGTAGCTTGGTAAAAACATGTACAAACATCTTTTTCTTTGGGGGCTCATGCGGAATCAAAACATATTAAAACTAAGAAAATGAATGCGAACGTGGGACTTAAAATTTGACAGCCAAGATTCAAGGATCGGAGGGCAGCAAGCATGACCGGCTTGAACTTGTCAAAATTGATGTCCTACGATCAGCGTTTGCTGTGAGACCTTACCACTCAAGCCGCTCAAAGTAGGCAATCTGCCTGGGCTTGCTGGCACACCTTGTCCAACTTTTTTGAACCAAGGATGCCTTTCATGTCTATATTGAGAACATTGACTATTCTTTTCAAAGGCGTTCTTGCATCCTTGTACGTCCTAGGTCTACAACTTCCGCCAAAAAGAAAAACCACGGGTGAAACGGAGGAAACATGGGGACGTGACATGACTCTTGGAAATGCATTTTCTGATTGAATAGCTTCAATATATATATATATAATTATATATTTATGCTTCAATATCTTTTAATCTCTGATTATAAATATCTCTTGGGCAGGATCTCTGCGTCAAAGGCTCCATGCTACCTTAAACAATTCGATGCTTTCGAAAATTGCTTCCCAACTCTCTCGATGGTCGTCCTTGTAGCGGTTGTTCATGTTGATGGAAAGTAAGTCACACTCCTGTGAGGCGCAAATGCTTTGCAGATCATGATCATTATACAACATCCCTGCAATTCCATGTAACATCCGGTACATCTGCACCAGTGAACAGGCAGCTAGCAGGGCCAAACGATGTCAAATGCCAAGACAGGCTCACAACACAGCAGAAACTATTGAGAAAACTCCTCCAACAAACTCGCAGGCTTGGAAATCCGGTCCACCAATACCTTCAAGGTTGCAAGGAAAACTAGCAAGACACATACCAACACACATACCAACACATCAGTCAAACACATGCAAGCACATGCATCATTAGCAAATTCCTTCCTTTTTGGCCAAGTTACTGCAAACACTTCCAGCAGTTCTTGCATCCAACCTGCACAAGTCGTGTCTCCATGATTAGCATAGCACACGTGCAAGCAGGTCTTGGACAAACTTCTTCATGCAATGCAAATTCAAAATCAAGTTCATGACCGAGAATGAACCAACAACATCCCCAGGTCCCCAGATTCATGTCGCACGCCTCATTTGGCAATCAAGTATGATCAAATTAAATTAAATCGTTAAATCGTACTTTAAATTACTATACAATATAGATTGATTGAATGCATTCCGTGATTGATATTTCATGGTTGCATCGTGTCGCACTGTCATGACGCAAAATGAAAACCATCAACCTGCAGCGGCGTGGAAACTTCCAGACTCAATGGCCATTTCAGGTACCTAAACTGGTAGTACATGGTAGTACTGTGCCATATAAAGCCATATTTTGAGGCATATACCCCCACATAGCCCTCGCATGGACAGGGTCTGTGTCGGCCGCGGTGAGTCGGATGGGGGTGTGTGTCAGACTCGGCTGGGTGTGCTGTGCGTGTTGGGCGGCGCCGTTGGCCGTGCCGGACGGCGCAAAGTGTCGTTACGTTCCGGACAGTGGTACGTGTCTCTGTCGGAGGCAGCCCCAGGCTAAGTTAGCAAACTAAGGCGTCGGCCGCAGGCTTGTGTCGGCCGCGAGGCTTCGGTGTCGGACGGCGGGGTGGGCAAATCGGGCGCTGCCAAAAAGGATGCGCCGCCCGCAATGACCCCGCGTCGTTTTACAATTTGTTCAGCAGCCCATTCTCAGTTTTCGCAACCGTTCCAGGGTTTTGTGACCTTCATTTCAATTGTTACACGCATGACTTTTGAATCGGTGAATTTACAGTGGTCGATTTTTTTCTGGTCACCATATCAAAAAACGAATTTGAACAGGTTCAGAGCGTTGCGTCAAGAACGCGTTAGAAGTTACTTGAAAAAGTTCAGTGTAGCACCAAGAACGTGCTAAATGTCACTTGAGAAAGTGCAGAGCGTAGCATCAAGAGCGTGGCAAAAGATACGTGATACTTGAACAAACTCACCCCAACCCCGTACCCACCCACCCCCCGACCCTCTCCCTCCCCCTCCCAAAAATAATCACATGGTCCTACAGTGACAATGTTGTGAAACGTGCAAAAGATCTTTCAACGTCATACAATCTCTGACACGCGCAAAACATCTTGCGACGTCATGAAACGTGCAAAACTTGTTGCAACGTTGCGTACGACATGAGAGAAGAAATAAGGTAATGTGCAACATGTTATGAGGATGCAAAACAGAGCAAACCGCCTAGGGTCCTTACAGGCGGCGTGAACAAAAATAAACAAAGAAAACCCAGGGCTAACTTAGCAAAAACAAAGGTCCGGGCGTCGAAAACATGCATGTCTGCATCGGTCGCGGGGAGGCTGTGGCGGACGAGGGAGGGTGTGTCGGCGAGTATATGACAGCTAAGGTAAGATTAATGGCGTAGCGTAGCAGGCGTAACATATCGTAACATCATCTATGCTGTGCTAGATGAACTAAAAATTCAGTACTGAGACGTGGGTAATGATAGACGAAGTTAACGTGGCGTAGTGTACCTTCATCTATGCCACAAGCAACCTACCACGAGTAATGATAAATAAAGTAACGTCACAGGCAAATGTTATTGAACGTTATTGCCCTCGCCACCACCCCCCCACCGCCCTCGAAACCCCCAAGAATCAAAAAAATACATAAACTATCATAAACTGAGCAGCAACTTCAAGTGAAATGGACCATCTACGTATGCAAGTGTTATTGAATGATATTGAATGTTATTGCCCCCTGTACCTCCCCCACCCCCTCCATCCCACCCCAAACCCCTGTGACGTTGCACCACCTACGTATGCGTTATTGAACGTTATTGCCCCCCCGATGACCCGCCCTCAGCCCCAAGCCATGTATTTAGCATCATCTAGATACGCGGATGTTATTGAACATTATTGCCCCCCCCACCTCCCCCTCCTCGCGCGTTCATTGTTTTCTGACTCGCGGGTTCCTGGTTGTCTGACTCGCGCCCTCCTGTTGTCTGACTCGCGCGTCGGTGTTACGTCTGACTCATGTTGTCTGGCTCGCAGCCCTGTTGTCTGACACGGTCTTCGCCCCCTCACATAGACCTTATATATGGTAAATGGTAGGTACCTCCAATTTAGGTTCCTGAAATGGCCACTGAAAGACTGCCGCATATACAGTGCTTCAGCACTGAGACAAAGGCAAAGGTCCAAAACTATAAACTCTTTTCTGAGGTTGGACCAATCTTATTGAATTTTGAAGTGAACACCTGAAGAGTGGCGGCCTGCTGAAACCATCATGGACATCATGGACATGAAACAATTGTTCAAACTGTCGCGTGCCTTCTGCTTCTTCGCCCATGATTCCCATGCTGAAGGCACACATTCCTTTAAAAGAATGGTTTTCATCGGTATCATGTTCCGCTGCGGCGTTGATCTGCTGCCAGTCTGCCTGCGAGAAAAATCAAACTTGTTTGGTGCAGTGGGGAAAAGGATGGACATGTAAAAAACGAAGGTCCTGTGGGGTGCTTGGCATTTCTTGTGCACAACCTGGATTTTTGTACGAATTTGTACGATGTGCATGGCGCCCTGGGCTTTACAAATGACGAGGCCTGAATGACCTTCAGTCGCTCTCCGTAGGTTGTGTTGATATACCTGCAACAGGTCAGCAAGATGACATAGAATCACTGCAACCATGTTGTATCTTGATGCATATATGTGTTGATGAAACTCTTGTTGCATCTCTTGATGATGTACCTCTTGATGATGTATCTCTTGATGCATCTCTTGTTGTATCTTGTTACAACGTGTTGTACAACTTGGTGCAAAGTTGTCGGAAGTTGTGCAGCCTTGCTGTTCAACTCATTGCAGGCTGATGGCGCTGCATGTTTCGGGGCCTTCTCCATGTTCATGCGCACAGCGGCAAACAGCTCTCTACAAGCAAACACAACAAATTAAATAAAACAAATTGTTTAATGAATACATCAAGCAATGTTTGAACATGTTTTGAAATGTTTTTGAAATTGTTTGAGTGCATTTTTTTCGCATTTAACATCATTAAACGTTAAACTCATTAAATTAATCTTGAACATATGCACGCATAGTAAACAAAATACATCACTCAACACATCCAATTTTAGGCGCGTCTCGCTCAATGTCTTATTATGTCTTATGCTTCTTCCTGGCTCTGTCCCTGTGTTATGCTTTCTGACTTTGTTTCCCTTCGGTGTTGTGCACTTCAGGACTTTCCTTGGTCCAAGCATGTGCTCGCTTGTTTGCCTGCTTGCTCGCTTCAATCTAGTCCTTCCCTGCAACGTCCACAGCGTCCCCTGAAGTATCTTCCAGCACCGACCCCTGTTAATTCTCGTCATCTTCAATTCATTCTCTGGTAATCACATTCTGAATTTCCTCGTGCCATGGTCCCGTAGCGGCCTGAAACAACTTCCAGTGTAGGTGAGTAGCTTTCGCCATGCCAAATTGCTCCCTGCAGGAAGTTCCTTCACGTTTTGCTGCATGAGTTCCATAAACGCATCCATGACTCTGGTTACACGATCCAGAGTGATATCCAGTCCCAAATGCCTCATTGCCATGGCTGAAGGCCCTGAAGGCCCTGAAGGCCCTGAAGGCCGTGGCTGCGTGTTTGACATGATTTTACAATCTTTATGTTTTGACTGTTTTGACGTATGGAAACATACTGACATAATGTCACCACATGTCCCCTGAAACAATCCTGTCAGCCGGAGCCAACAGACATGCCAGAAGCAACCCCCCAGCCCGAACCTTCCTGAATATGTGTATCAAAGTTTGAGGTGCTCACCGAGTTTTTGCCCCTTTAAGCCAGCCTCTTTGAGTTATGAAATCATGTTCAGGTCTACATTTCCTCAAGTTTCTTCGAGTCAAGCGACTTGAATGCCATTGTCTCCACAAAGAGGCGCAACTCTTCGGGATCTTGGCTCTTGTGTCCTTAGTTGTTTTTTTCGAAACAAATCCATAACAATCAGCAACCCGACCCACAAGATGCAAAACAGGGGAAGACAGGGATAAGACAGGAATGCCGCTGCCAAGTTGCTGTCGGGTCGGTTAAAGCCGGTGAACAATGCCAAGAGAACAAGAAACCTAAACAATAAAACGAACACAAAAAACAAAGAAACCACATGCCAGCTAAGTTTCCAAGCACCCTGAAACCGTTGAACAACGCTAACGACAACACCGCCCTCGGAGTCATGAAACTCTCCTGGCGTGGTTTCCATATGCTCTCCAGCATCTCTTGCTGCAACACTGGAAAAAATCGAACGCTTGGAGGACATTCAAAAAACATGAAACAAATCAGCCAAAAGGAAAAGAAAAGATATTGCACGAAACCTCATCAAGTCACATTTTGAAAAAATTAGGCCACACATTTTGACACTTGGAGGCAAGAACATGGGAAACTCTTCGGGAGAGGTGACAGTTGGCATCTGAAACAGTGCCACTTTGAACGCATGTTTTGCGTGATTTCCTGCATTGTTCATAAGTGCCATAGCTGTCATAGTTAATCATTCGCTTTATGACAAATATAAAACAGTGTTTTGGCGTAATTATTTTGATGCGTTGTGGAACCTTATGGAATCTCACAGTTCCTTGCGCACCTTGACAGCCATGAGTGACATTGTCTTGGCCCCATAGATCGCATCCCCAACACGGTCGCGGTCACCACCCAAGGCTGCCAACATGAGTTCAAAGGAACGACCAAGCGCAAAGAGTTCCGACTGCGTCCTCCATGGAGGCAGAACTGCGTTTCACCAGTGCTCATTAAACATGTGTTAACATGTGTTCATCAGATGAACTAATCCAATGCTTAAATTAGTAGTGAACAGCTCTAAATCTACCCTGAGAGCAAGTCTGATAGACGTGCTGTAAAACACACATGCAATAAGTACACGTGCGTGTGGGGATCTATCTACTTATCCACCTATCAGCTTATCAATCTATCAATTTATCAACCTACTAATCTATCAACCTATCAATCTATCAACCGATCAATCTATCAGCCTATCAAGTTATCAATCTATCAATCTATCAATCCATCCATCCTTCCATACATCTTTCTTCTCCTATCTACGAGTATGCATCTAATTCAATCAGATCGCATCTAGTTTTGTCTAATCTATCTAATTTAATCTGCGTAATTAATCCAATCTAACCTAGCTATAAAATGATATAAACCTGATGCAATCTGATCGAAATCTCCAATCGGATCTACCGAATCTATCTAATCTATCAAACATATCTACTCTATCTAACCCATCTAACCTGTGTAACCGATCTAACCTATATACCTAATATGTTTGATCTATCTAATACTATCTAGGCTATCTATCTAATCTATCCAATTTATCCAATTTATCTAATCCAACGAATCCATCGAACCTATTAGAATCTATCCAATTTTATATCATTATAACCTACTCAAATGTAATCTAATCCAATCTGCAACCGCACCCAGAGTTCAGATTCTCAATCACTCTGGCAGAATTAGCACAACATGCGCAATATGAGTTTTTGACCATGGCAGCCCCAAAAGGTGAAGAATGGCGCCCATGGTTTTGCAATGCTTTGCAGACAGGGGTTCCAGCAGCCAGCTTCGAATTATTTAATTACATGGATCTACAGAAGCACATCAGGAAAATTTTCCAAGTAAAATATCACTTGGCGATGTTTGCCTGGAGGTCTATGCACAGTGAAATCTAGGACCCCCCACATCTGCAGCAGGTCCATGGCGACACCGAATTTATCTTGTGTGATGAGCAAGTTATTGGCAACCTCTGCCTCCACACCTGCAAGCAACGCTTCCAGTTGCAACTGATGTGACATCCCGGCGTTGCCGAATACTGCCCAGCAGTAAATCCAAGATCACATAGAAAAATGGGAGGATGATAAAAGGGCATGACCAATGCCACATCAAAGCACCAGCCAAGAAAACATGCTACAGAATGAGCTTGAGGCCCAAGCAAGAAACAACGCATCAGAAGTGGTAGGAAAAATACTTCCATGACGCAGCCACGGGACTGCTGGAAAATCGCAAAACATCATGTGTTCAATTTCCTTTTGGCAAGGCTTCGCATTGCACAGCAGATAAAAGCAGATATTTCTTACCTATGGCTGCCACTCTTGAAATAAGCATGGCTAGAAGCGAGAAATTCGCTTGATGATTCGATGTCCAATGTCTCTCTCTCTCTCTCACACACAAATTTGTACACGCCACATCTGGCCACACATTCATGCCCCGGATGCTGCATAGCATTGGGTTCGCCTTCAGGCATGTCAGGGGGATGGGATGAGTCCGTCAGCGCGTTTGAAGCACATTCTTCTTGCATCTCGATCAAGTCTGTCGTTTCAACTTCTTCCTCGTGCCCGACCTCCAAGCAATTCAGACCGGCAAAACTTTTAGCACCCTGCTTGCATATATATAAGTATCGCAGCCAGCTTGCGCTTTAGCAGAATCAAACCGATAGAACCCACGAACCCAAGTGCACATCACGAGCTACTTCAAATTCCCTCCGGCCTGGGCGCTTTCGTGGGACTGAGACACCCGTGTAAAACACTCTTTGAAGCTGCTCTTCGGTCTGTGGGACATTCAGTTTGGGCACTTCTGTAAGACACTCCATGCAGACACTCTTCTGGGGCACTCTTGTCAAGACACTTTTCTGAGATACTTTTGCGAGACGCTCTTTGAAGACACGCTTTGTGGGACAATCTTGTAAGTCACGTTTGGATGAAGACTTTCGCTGGACACTTGTGCCAAGGCACTTTTGTCAGGATGCTTTTGTCAAGACTCAAGACAAACTTGTGAGACATCCTTGTCAAGACACTCTTTTGGGACAACCTTCTAAGGCAATTTTGAAAACACTCTTCCGGCACACTTTTGTGAAACACTTTTTGGGAGGCACTCCTCAGAGGCACTCTCGTAAGAAGGCACCCTTCTGAGACACTCTTGTGGGACGCAAGACAAGAAAAAAATTGGCTCGCTTCTCGACCGAGCTCTTGCTGGACTCTGCTGTGGCTGTTTTAGAGGACGCTGTCTTTTGAAGGACTCTTGCAGGATACCTGTACACGCGCGCTCGTAAGACACTCTTCTACGACACTCTTAGACACTCTCGCGCAGTTTCTTGTAAAGCACCTTGTAGGACACTTGCGTCAAAGATTAGTTGAAGGCACTTTTCAGGAGCACCCTTGTAAGAAACCACTCTTCTTAGTTGAATCCTGCTCCCACAGCCTTACAGGGAACAGTATCACTTGCCCCAAAGGTTCAACTGCGCAGCTCCTTTTCACGCGGTACTTGAGCCAAATATACAAGTCGCAAACGCAAAATGAACTGTGCTCCTTGGAAGACATCAACAGTGCAATATGCTAGGGCTATACATGAGAGGAAACTGTGTGGTTTCTCAACTCCCGCCTTTGCACTTGCATGTCGTGCCCTAATTTCAATTTCAGGACCACTTGCCCGTGCAAGAATGACAATTCCCCTGTAGTGTAACATCAGGTCAATTGCAACCGCTCGACTTGAAGTTGCTTGGGCGCTTCTTCCCATTGGACAGGTGGAAAAATCTTGGCCAACGGGTTTGCAATTTGCTGGTGGCATTGCAATATTCCAGATGCACTTCCTGATCCTTGGCTTCCACTATCGTCGAAACTGAAGTAATGTTCACTCAATCAACTCGGCCAGAAGGGCGCAATTTTACGCTGTACTTATTGTACCACCTTGGTGACGGCCTGATTGTGCTCTTCGAGCAGCTTCCCAATACTTCACTCCACACAGCATTAGCAACGATGCTATCTTGACATGGACGGCCAAAGTCCGAGCTTGATGCTTCAAGGTGGGCAAAGGCACGACACTGCTGTCATCCGTTGTCTTGCTAGGCATACAATTCCTCCGCTTCTTGACTGCTTGCAATCCACATTCGTCTTTGATCCATTCTGCATGCACCTTTTTTTGTCACGCATGCATGGTTGAAACATGACAAATCTGGAACATAGTTGAAAGCTTGTTTTGGGTGCCAAGCTTCAAGGATTGCTTGTGCAGAACTGCAGGGTATAAAACCCTGTCTGATCGGTTTGGCTCCCTTCTGCAGTTTCGTGTGCATGTGACTTGCCACACTGGAACTGCAAAAAGGTTTCGACAATCCTCTCATCGCATGTTGGCATCGCCCACATCTTCTTGATTGGCTGCTCTTTGCCTCCCAACATTCACCCGTGGAGGTAAACCCTACGGCAGCGTTTTTTTGCTCCTCTTGGAAGATCCTGAATTGGCTGGCCACTCGATTGCTATGCTACCTCCCTTGTCGAGGATCTTTTCTGCGAATTTAGCCACATTTCCACAGTCGCATCGATTTCTTTCTGCTTTCTTGCCGTTTCTTTTGAAAATCTTTTCCGTGCCTATGGATATTCATATGTTGCCAAGGGGTGTAGTCGGCACAGGGAAGATTAATTTATCCATCTGCACCAAGACGCAAACCGACTTTTTGCAACACTTGTTCAACTTGTTCTTCTATCTTCCAAGTTGATGGTGCGTCGCGAAAGTCGACTGCATTCAACCCCAATGCCTTCTCCGGCATGTCCCAAAGCGGATTCTTCTGAACAGGCGTATTCAAAAATGGTATGAAAACCTGTCAAAGAGTTTACCCCACGAAACTTGGGCCGATTGGCATTGCTTTGGTTGAAGGCTTCGTCAATATGATCTGCACAATGCCGTGATAGGCCCGTGGCCTTCCGTAGTTAAATCAACCCTTGGACGGCTTAAGCAGTCAATGCACAATGGAACATCACCAACGACCAAAAAAGAAGGAATCACCAAACCTGCAAGTATGGCCTGAAACCTGTCCATGTTGCAAGTGACTCCAGCTGAGGCAGCGCCCGCCCACACACAGCTTCAGCACAAGAAAGGGGTGAGCCCAGACAGCGGGCAGTAGTGTAACCAATCGGCCGACTTGTCCAAAAGGGCCAACTGCTTCACCACACGCAAACGAAGTATCATTATTAAAAAACATCGCTTAAGGAGCCGCGTTGGAAAGGAAATGCAGCGTGGAGCAAACAAAGGTCCCAGACCCCCAGAGATAAACGAGGAACCTTCGCTACGCATTCAGGAACACCAAAGAAAACAAAGAGAACATCTTGATACCAAAAACTTGCCCAAGCGTCTTCCACGTTGGCGTTGTTCTCTGGCATGTCTGCTTCTTCTCGTTGACGAGGCTTGCGAGATTTGACAATGAGAACACGTACGGCACTTCACTTCAAATAAGACGCGACGAAAACGTCTTGAGGTGAAAAAAAGGCAATTGAAGGGAAGGCGCGCATTGGCAAAGACCATCCCGCGTTTCATTCTTAACGTGCGAACCCCAAATAGGATAAATAGGTACACCAATCGGGGCCCTACAATGATTGTCATGGCGCCAAAACTGACTGTTTGATAAACATGGACATTCGACGCCCCTTAATTTACAGGTTGCAAGCCTTACCAGCCCAACGCTTCTGCAAATGGCCCCGCGTCGCCAAACAAACCAACACAATTCAAGAAAAGGACTCAGCGCTCGGCTGGTGGCAGCCTTACCGTTTTCAAAATCAGAACCTTGACGCAACTGTAGCATCTTTCATCAGCAAGCATTCTGCGCCCTAAGGGCGCATCCCTTTCAAGTGGCTTAAGTCGGTGCAACAAGTGATGACCCTATAAGGGTCTACAAGTGCATCGCAAGGTGAGACATCCAAGACGGGCTGATCTGTAAAACCTGGCACTCAGGGACTGGCGCAAAATACAGCTTCAGCTACTTCAAATTTCCAAATTCAATGGCCAAATTTAAAACATTCCGCTCCAGCTACTTCAAAAATTCTATGGCTACAGTTTACCTTTTGCTTAAACGCTTCCAACTTTGCCGCCTTGCCAGCTTAAAACATCACAAGTCTAATTCTACCAACGCTGTTTCGTCACAGGGCCACTGAGACATTGTCAGGGTTCTCCGCTTCATGGTTCCGCTTCATCTTATGCCTAATCTGCTCCAAACGCGCTTTCACCGAAGCCAGCTCCTGACGGTCAAACTGACAGAAACCAAGCCTGTTCGCATTTGAACAAAGGTTACGCTACTGGCAGGCAAGGGGGGAACCACTGGCAACGGCCAGACAGAAACCATTTCGAACTGCCAATGTCTGAATAGCAACTGTATGTAAAACATCTTAGACTCTTAGACTATTGCATGTCAACCGAGGCCTTGCCAACGTCCCGGATTGCCGATCGAGTGAGCCTCGACATGACAAAGCACACTGCTGCACCAGCGTCCGACTAGCTAAGGACCGTGATTCTTCATGCAAGCATAACCATTCGCAGCGCGGTTCGGTTTCATTAACGCGATGTGATGCGCTCGGTTGCAAACCGGGGAACTTGTTCTCATAGCTCATTTTTGCCACCTGGGTTTGATTGGAACAAAATGCTCATGCCATGAAACGTGGGTAGGATCGAATGGACCCTCCTTCTTGCCCGCGAGCCTGCAAGCTCTTGGCTGGGCCGCGCAATTGCATACAACCATTCACGAACTCGTCAATATCGAGAAGGCCAGTCAGCAGCAGCATAGACAACGGCAGCGGCCACTCGGCGCAGCAAAGCCGCACCATTCCGCTGCACCACGCCGCAGAGGGCCCACCACCCGCAAAGCACTGCCACCTTAGTTGCCACCGTACCTGCACCTCAGGAGCAGGTCACGGCAAGCAGCCAAATGTTGCACCACCTGATTATCACCCCAACCAAATCTTCGCACTAATGGATCCTGAGGAATAACCGGGCGACTTCGCGCCTGAGGAGAATTTTGACACTCCCATGCCACATGATGAAAATGACCACAGCCGTCACACCACGGACACTTTTCCTGAACATCGTCAGCCTGCTTTGTCCGCATCTGCGGAGACACAAATGCACCCGTCAAAACAGCAATGACATTCTTATTGGCACCCGAAGTCATTTTCCGAGTGTTTTCAAGAAGCAACTTTGGGTACTCCCTATCCCCAAATTCAACCAGTTCATGACGTTGGGATGCCATGTACTTTTGCCACCAATGCCACCTCCATGCCTCGCGGAGGAGATGAGCGATCCACTCAGAATCATCAGACCAGTCTTCTGAGCTAGGATTCAGACTAAGCTTGAAATGGAATGCAGGGTGTTGCCAAACCCAAGGCACCACAGATGACCATCCAAGAGACTGAAGCCATTTCTTGGCTCTCTGAGCCGGACCTCCAGAGAGGTCCCAATCACTGAAGATTCTTCGGATCCGACGAACAGTGCGATGAACCGCACCGATGAGCGCCGCACCACATTGAAACTGAATGTCCACTGGGTGACCCATCACCAACCTAATGAGCGCAGGAGAGGACATGCGATGGCAGTAGCCCACCCTTCGGAGACGAGTTTCCAACTTAGACATGAGCCCGGTTCCAGGGGGAGCACGGACCAACCACCCGTAAGTTGCTTTGCTACCTGCGGCAAGTGCGCCAACAAACGATCTTCGAGCTGCTGAGATAGGAGCCAAACGAACCTTAGCAGCACAAGCCATTGCCTTTTCAATGCGACCTTGTTCCTTAGGCAGCATGGACCCAAAACCCATAGCAGCGCCTAAGGCAAAAAGGTTTTCAGTCACTCCATTGCACAGCTCTTCTAACTGCATCATATCTTGACGCTTGGTAGGCTGCCTGTGAGTGAACTGACTTTTAAGCTTGTTTTCTTTGAATCCCAGCTTTGCCGAGTGTTCATGCCAAAGATGGAGAACATTCAGAAAGGAAGGCAAGGTGGGAGAACACCAAGATCTATCATCGACAAAAACAACGTGACCAGTGTCAGGCTCTTGTTGCACAATATGACGCATGGGCATACTCATGATCAAATTGAGAACTCTCGGCGAAAGACTATCGCCTTGCGGGATGCTACTACGCACACCTTGGATTCGGGGGCACACTTCTTTGTTCCACGAAAGGATACGCAATTGACCTTCCCAAATTTTTTGAATAGCAGCCGCCAATTTTCGGGGAAAACCTTTCCAAACTAAAGTATCACAAGCCAAGCTCGGGCGCACATGGTCAAAGCACTTGGAGAGATCTAATGATCCCACATAGGCTCCTTTGGCAAATCCCTCAGCAAGTTCACAAAAGCTACCTTGACTGTCTCGATTGCGCCTACCTCCAGCCTGGGTAGTCAACAAATGCGATTCCAACCAACGTCTTTCGATGTCCCCATCTAAGCGGGCACTCACATAAATTCTCCACCAACACGACATGAGGCTTATTGGTCGAAGTTTGCTGGTCGGGGTGGCGCTGTCAGAGAGCCTTTGACCGTTTCCTTTGGGGAGCATCACCTGTGTCATGAAGTGCCAGCACTTTGGGAAACATCCCAGTTGCTCCCAGGCTTGAAACACAAATTCCAGGTCAGCCCACATGTTGTACGGCCAAGCTGCCATTTCGCTGCCAGTCCAGCCGTCAGGGCCCCCGGCTCGGTGCCTTTGTCTAGCAGCCGAGGCACTAAGAGCCTGTGCAGAAACAGGGCTCCAATTTTCTTCGACTTCAGGGGCCCCGCCATATTCACGAAGATATTGCTGCGGAGTCCAAGCATCGCTATTGTCACGGTTCCAAGCTCTCTGCCAAAAGGATTCGATTTTGACCAAGGCACCAGAGCTGTCCATGCTAGCTGGGTCGTCAGGATCGACTTCGTCGTCATACAAGGTAACAGTGGGCGCCGATTCGGAGGACCGCACCCATCGAAAGACCTGAGCGTTATCTTGCTGCAAGCGAACCTTCCAATTGCTAAGTCTGCTCTGCCGGCTCGCCTCGGTTTGACGCTGAACCTCAGTTTCGGCATCCTTGGCAGTCATTCCTGCTTGGTACAGAGGGCATCTGCGGATGCGTTTCCAAAGCTTTTGAAGATCCTTAGAATTCTCAACAGTGTTGTCATGATGCTGTCTTCTCTCGGCCTCACTGAGCCTTCCCCACAACCGCATCCAGGTGCGAAGCTGATTAGAGGCATTCGGAGCGTGGGGTTGGTGGATGACCAAAGGGACATGACGAAAAGTGGGGATGGACCCCTTGGCCCGTTTAGCTTTTCTGTAGGGCCGCATAGGCAACTCATGTTCCTGAGCCCACTGAGCCTGTTTCTGAAGAAACGTTTCGAGTAACAAATTCAGGTGGTCCCAAATTCGGTCACTTTTATGCTGTTTGACCGCTTCTGACATGTTGTCGGCTTCGCGGATTTCTTGTTCAGCTTTCACTTTAAATTCCTGCCAAACTTGTCTATTTTGCTGCCAGGCGTCCGCCAGGCGTTCTGTCCAATCGATACCTCGGTCGGTATCTTGAGGCAAATACACGTTTGCTGGAACCATCACAACCTTAGTAAGAGCCTCATCTGCACCTTCAGCTTTGACGTCAAAGTAAAAAGCTTTGTGATCACTGTAACGTTCGGGGCACATCTTCAAAGTGGAGTCCAAGATAATACCGTTGCAAATCGCAAAATCGATGACCCGTTGGCTTTCCCATCTACTGCTAACCCCAGGAGGTGGCAAACAAGAGCTGTAACCTGAAGAGGTAAGGCCAAAGGCCAAAGGCGATTCCTCAGGGGTGTCATTGAAATCACCCACAAGAGTCCAAACATTCGGGGACCATGAGTGACACAGCTGGAAAGCTTCCGTCTTGAAAGCTTCTCTTTCAGGATGATGGGCACAATACACGTTGCCCACCCACATGTGACCGACCTGAACGCCTAACAACTGCCCCCCAGAGGTATCCAGTTGGTGAGCAATGCGACTTTTCAGGTGTTTACCAACCATAGTTATCATTCCCCGGCAGCACTTGTTGGACAAAGCGAAGGTGACCCAACCTGATTTCCAAGCAGCAGCTGCCAAGACCTTAATTTCGACATCAGACATGTTGGCTTCCTGAAGACAAACCACATCGAATTCCTTAGGTTTCAGGTGGGGCAGGGCGCTCCACAAGTTTTCCTTACCTGCAATATTGACGCTGCAAATCCTAAGTTTTGTCAAACGTCTGCGATGAGCTCGAGGTCCTGGATTTGGCTCAACGCCCTCATCACACAAATCCCGTTGCCAATTTTTGGCCTTGGAGACTGGTTTCTGCTGCTGACCCGTATCAGCAGGCAGATTTTTGAACCAAGCTTTGCTGCCAGGGTTCGGAAGTTTAGCCTGCACCGGTTTTTGTTTGAGGCGTGGGTTAGCTCCCACACTGTTGGTGAGAGCATCCATATCTTTGACCTGCTGCTGACCCCAACCCCAAATTTTGACCAGAGGGCCCACAAACTGATCATGGGTGAGCCGCACTTTGCGCCAAATGTGAGTTTTGGGGTATTTTCTCTTGATGCACTTGTTACGAGTAAAACAATCGGTTTCGCCCTGCACTCGTTTGCAATGTCTGCAGGTGTATCTCAAAAATTGGTTTTTTAACAAACCAGAATCAGGAACGAAGCAAGACAGTTCATGACCTTGAGACTTGGCTTTTTGAATTCTTTCTTTACGCCACTCAGCAGAATGCCAACCTGTTTTTTTCCGCGTTGCCACCCGGTAGTTGATGTCAACAGCAGCGGTGCCATTACGCAAAATGATGCGATTTTGTTCGGGGGTGAGGTCAGGAGCACAGCTTGCAAGGTGAGCATCTCTGCTTCTTTGCAACTGACTAGACGGAAGCCATGGCAACCCCAGCCCGCACCTGCTGCATGTCCAACCCCGCGCAGCCCATTTGACTTTGGTGGCTTTAACCAAAGGATACTGAGTTCTCCGATCAGCGATCAAATGTTTTTCATTTTTGTGACATCTTTCAATGTGCCTAGATTTCTTGGCAGCCCACGTACCAAGGCAAGCGGCCGAAAATGCGAAATCACACAAGTTACACTTCCAAGAATATCTCTCAAACAAAGCTTGTTCTTCCGCCGCATTCTTGGGGATCTGTTTGGTTCGTTTTTTGGCGATTTTCTGAGGAGAAGGTTCGTCTGGAGTTTCCAGTCTTTCGGCGTCCTCTTCTACTGTCAATGCCGTAGGGGCAAAATCAGGATCAGACACTTTTTCCATTGCAGCATGGACCGCACGAGTGACAGCACTGCAAGCAAGCAAACAACCTTGGAGCGTTCCGAGTGAATCCGGAGTCAAGTCTTGGTCCGGCACGCCCTGACAAATTGACTGAAGCCAGGCATGGGCCTGACTCCAATGCGGGCACTGAACCTTGGTGATAGCGGCCGGGTCCCCGGACGCAACCTGAGTACTAGGTGCCCTGTCGTCCTTGGTGGTGTGACTTCGACTCATCTGTTTGAGTCGCTTCAAAGGACTCTTTTTTTTACCTTTGGAGCGTTGCTTGGAAGCCTTGGTTTTACAAGGCGAGTCGAACATGTTCTGGCCAACAATGGTGTGAGCAGAAGGTGTTGGCATATCACTAAAATTATTCGTGGGTTTTCGAGAACTCCTAGCACTTTTACCATGCAACGAAATGGTGTGGACCGAAGGAGTGGCCATGCTTGACGAAGACTTGGCAGCGCCTTGAAGTTCATGTCTGGCAGGAAAAACCGTTTCTTTTAACCATGCATTGGGCACGGTCTCTTTTTGTGGAGGTTTGAGCCAAGTGTAGTGATCATCCTTCAAAAGGACAGCAATTGGCTGGGTTCCCTTAGCTGCTTTGGCCCATCCTTGGTCAAAGGTAGGAGCCAACGTGGTACGCCGCCACGGCGCCTTCTTGTTTTCCTTCTTCCAAATTACAATCACATGACCCGTTTTGATGGACAGGGCCCTCAGTGCGATCCCATCAATCCAGGTTCGAGGTCGACCCATAGCATCGAGCCAATCTTGAAACGAGGATTGTGATTGCAAAGTAGGATCCTCGTTAGCAGTTTCAGGATCAGGAGCGAAAAAGGGAAGGAAGCTCTTTTCATGTTTGCGGCAGTGGGTCACCACCTGACTTCTGAGTTTGGCGCCAGCACGTTGGCATTGTTCTGGCGTCCTGACTTGGGTAGGATCTTTGTAGTAATCCAAGGCGCAGCCAATGGCCCTGAATCCGCAATCTCCGTTTCCCCCAAAATCAACTTCTTCAAAACCTTTGTTGTTGATAA